TGCTCCCAGCCATCACATTGCTAAGCAGGAAGATTTAAAACCAGCCATGCTGGTCCCAAGGTTCCAGCCTGCCCTCGAAAGAGACAGCGGTCCTGTAGCTATCATGCACTTGTGTTAGTCCAGTCTCCCTGAACATCATATTTTAACAATAATTCTTCCTACAGTTTGCCCCCAAACCTCTCTCTTCAGAGCTTCTTAGTGCCACACAGTTTAAATGCTCCCCCTGCAATGTTTATGATGCGCTGTAGAGAGAGTGGAGGGGGGGGTCAGCTGAATGGCTGCTCTGGGGACATGCTCACCATGTTTCTTACAGCCCTGCTGGGCTTAACTCCACTGGAATGGTTTCAAAAGCTGACTCATGTCCAGTTCGTCTGTTTTAATCTTTACACTCTTACATCATTCTGGGAGGCTCACAGTACAACACACAAAATACCCACGCTTAATCTCTCTAGGTTGAATACCAAGCAAAGCTAGGTACAAACACACATCTGGCGCAAACTCCTTTCCTCCTTAACCACGTAGGATGGCAGCTGGTGCAGGCTGCAAAAAAGAGTTCCGTCTTGCAAGGACGAACCTGCGCGCGAGCAGCCGTAGCAGCTTACTAGCAGCAAACCTAGCAGGACAGGAGTGTGGCAGGCAAAATTGTACCAGGCACCCTGGCGGCGCACATCTCCTAAGGGGCAGCATGTCCCTAAAGATAAGGTACTGGAGTGGGAGTTGGGTAGACTGGGTTTTCTCTTCTGCTTTATCAGGGATTTGCTGAGTCAATTTGGGCAAGCTGCTTACCCTCCCCACCTCTTGATACCATGACAGTATACTCGTCAGCGGGGCTTTTAATTTACATCAGCACATTCACAATTTGTGAGAAATCCCTCACGCTGCATGGTGGAGACAATGCTGGCATTTTCCCAAGGAATCTAAGGGAATTAGGTGCTCTGTGAAACCCCACGTGTGTACCACCTGGGCAACAGTGATCATCGCCTGCTGGAATTCACCATCCAGCGCAAGGTGGCAAAGGCATGTAGTAAGGCAGCGGCCCTGGATTTTAGGAGGGCAAATTTCAACGAGCTAAGGAGGATAGTTGGGGAAGCACTGAGGTCCCGGAGGGGAGGGGAGACAGGTGTCCAAGGAGAGTGGTTGCTCCTCAAGGAGATGATCCTCCAAGCCCAAAGG